TGAGTAGGACCATATCCTGAGTAGGACCATATCCTGAGTAGGACCATATCCTGAGTAGGACCATATCCGGAGTAGGACCATATCCTTGGGAAGGGATGACAGATCTAATTGGAAAACAAGTATCTTTAATTTGCTTTTCCATGCTTAAAGCTGAATGTACAGAGTTGGGATATTTAAAATGCAAGGAGCTTTAATTTTTTTATCCAGTGGTCTGGACCATCATCACAGAATCCAAGATGTCAGAACTACAGAGCCAAAGAACATTTTGATCCAAAACATGAAGATGTGTAACCAGGCATTGGACTCAATCCTACGATGCCAATCACATGAAGAAGTTTTGAGGCATAATATTGAAATATGTTCCTGAGAAATTTGGTCTAAATAAAATATAGTGTAAAAGAGTTACATGGTCTTGACTGGGCATTAAATAACATATCTAATTTGATCTCAGTATATTTGGAGTGTGGTAAAGCCCCTTTTGCTATGTAAAATTGGGGGCTGTGCTGTTTAATTGTCTGGGCATTTTGTATCTTACACTTTCTGTACATTCTGTGTGGGGTCCTGGCATTAAAAAATATGCATGGTATTTAAGCAATTTAACCTACTCAATGGGATGATATAAAAGTTGACTGACTAATGCTTACAGAGTAACTAACTGCATCATCCATCCACATATACAGGTAGTCCTCAACTTAAAAGAGTTCATTTAGTGACCAAAGTTACAACGGCACTGAAAAAAAGAGACCTATGAACATTTTTAACACTTATGAACTTGCAGCATCCCCATGATCACATAATCAAAATTCAGGCACTTGGCAACCGTCTCATATTTATGATGATTGCAGTGTCTTGTGGTCATCTTTTGTAACCTTCTGACAAGCAAAATCAATAGGAAAGCCAGATTCACTTAACAACTCTCTTGCTAACTTAAAAACTGCAGTGACCGCACTTAAAACTGTGGCAAGGAAGGTTATAAAATGGGGCAAATCTCACTTAACAAATGTCTCATTTAGCCACATAAATTTTTGGCTCAATCATGATTGTAAGTTAAGAACTATCTGCAATAGGATTGAGATACGTTTGCTAATTTTACTGGTTGATGAGAAAAGTAATGTCATAGAACAATGCATTAATATAGTAGACAATAAATCAATAATACAGCTTTGTCTGTCTTCTCTATTAATGGGGATCTTGATGGCATAGTACCCTGGGCAGCGACAACTTTTATTGTGGTGCCTTGTATTTGATGACGAAGGAAAAAGTATGAAGGTTAGATTTGTGGTATCAAAGAATGTATTAATTCCATTGCATTATCTGACACATTACCAAAAATAGTTAGCCTCCAATGCAGAGGTGGGTATTTAGCAGGCTCTGACCAGTTCTGGAGAACCGGTAGCGGAAATTTTGTGTAGTTCGGAGAACCAGCAAATACCACATCTGATGGGAGATTTTACAGTATCCTTCCCCTGCCATGCCTACCAAGCTACACCCACAGAACCGGTAGTAAAAATATTTGAATCCCACCACTGCTCCAATGTGAGTAAATAAATACAGAATAAATCTGATCACAGCACCACTGTATGAGTTGATATTTGGAGTCCAGCTGTAACAGTTTCTTACTGGAAAGCTTGTGAGATTATTAATTACTTGAGAAAGTACAGTGGGTCCCTTCTCTCATTTTCTCTCCTCTCTTTATCCCTTTTGCATAGCGTTATCATATTTTTGAATGCATAAATCCTATATAGTAATTTTGGCCTTTTTTGCTACATTGTCTTACTAGCGTTGTACTCTTTTATCCTTTTCTTATTTTCCTGGGCTACAATACTGACCACCTTTCTTTTGCAGCTGCCCAATTCTCTCAGATACCTCTTTAACCTAACTTTCTCTTTCTCCAAGCTGCCATTATTTCCATCCTATCATCTCTTTTTCAGACATTAAATCTTTTCCACTGCCTCTGCTCTTCTAATTCTTCAGATGTTCTGAGCAGGAAAAGGCGGTCAAGAGGCAATTCCCAAATGCCCAATTGGGCACAAACCAACAGCTTACTTGGGGCTTTTAAAAAGCACAGCTTGTTTGCATACCATTGGTGGAAATTGGGGGACTGGATTCTGAAGGCTAATACGTATCTCTGTATTTCCTTTGTGATGACCCTTGTTCTGGAAACACTGGCTTGATTGTTCAGTTAGTTTCTGCACAGTGTTTCCTGCCTTTGGGCAAGAGAAAGCTCTTTGCCCTGCATACCAGAATGACTTGTTTTGTTAGAAATTCTTTAGTGCAAAACCTTTTTGTTTGTGTGCAAATTTACAGGAAGGACAAATAGTGAAGATATATGCTTAAAAAGTTGGTTAACTCTCTTTTTGCCTTGTTCCATTGTATCATTCCCTGACCCACTTCTCAGAACATAATTTCACCAGTTAGCACAGCAAACAGGGGAAAACATAACAAAAACTAAAGTATGCATTTCTAGAAAAGTTAAGACAAGCCTGAGAGTGAATGACAAGCCTAGAATTACCCTTCCTGACTCAGTCAGGAACTGAACCTTGGTTATTCCTGGTCCTTGTGTAACACACAAAAGCCAATTTAAGAATACATTAATTGGTTTCTCTTAGCCAATAAATACACGTAGCTTAGAATTTAATAGTTTACTTGCAAAAATGTATTATTATATATGCACTTTCAGGTATCTTAAGCACTTCATACTTGCAGGTCTTATAATGGCTTTATAACATAGATAACACTATAGACCCACTGCAGGCTGGTCAAATTCATACTATATACACTTCATAATGTATAGAATTCATCTATTTCTGTCTTTCCACAAAATACTGCACAATAAAGTAATTGGGCTGAGTTCAGTTTAGAAAAATGAAGGAAATATTGTCACACATAATCTAATAATGTCAACAGAGGTAGAATTTCTGATTTTCTACCCAAAGTTATTGGCAATAAGTGCATGTAGTTAAAAGATAGGATTAAACTGGATACTTCTCCACAATGCAGTCCATTCAAGTACATTATGTTTGGCCTGAAATTCCAGGCAACTCCTATCTTGCACCTGTGCACCTGTTTTTTTTATACTTACACTACAGAACCTGATTTTTCACGCTTTCTATTCATTTTGTTGAATAGGCTCCAATGTTCAAGTCTATTAAGATCCGTTTGATTTTTAGCTTCTCTTTTGAACTGTTAGTAGCCCTCTCTTCCAGCTTTGCATAATTTGTAAATTCGATGAGTGTTTTCCTCCACGTCTAAGACACTTATAAAAATGTTGAAGAACTCTGGTCCTGAGACAATGATATGTCCCTCTGCACACCTCCCTCCATATAGACATATTAAACAAATACTACCAGATATATTTGGAGAGCTCCTTGATTTAGTTCTCCAGGATCTTGAGTGTAAGGAAGGCTGTGTCACTGGTAGAAGAAAACAACATAATTATGCAAGGAACAAGATGGTTGTTTTCTCACTTCTGCACTTACAACTTTACTACTCTTTACTACTACTGACTTGCCTTTTAAGCTGCAGCATCAGGACCACTGGTGCACCAGCAAGTAAATGTGAATTAGAGATCCTTCATCTTAGTTGATTATGAAACTGAGCAAAAAAGGCACATGAATGTTTTCTGTCTGTGTTCTCTATATAGACTTTATATAAATAGGAATTAAGAGACACTAGTAATTCAGTTATTATCATAGTATCAGCTTTTGGAAAACATCACAAGGATGAATTAACATCTTAACATTCACCTACTAAATAATTCACCATGACTAAGGATTCTTGGCATACAATCTTAGGGGTGTCAAACTCAAGGCCCGGGGGCCCAATCTGGGTCACAGGGTGCTTAGATCTGGTCCATGGGGCCCTCCCAAGCTCCAATTTAAGCTGCAACAGCCTCTTGCAGCCTTCTGCCAGCAAACATAGCGCTCAGGGGCCCCTGTTTTCATTGTCAGAAGGCTGCAGGAAGCTGTTCTGGCCAAAAATGGAGCTCACGAGGGCTGTGCATAGTCCCCCAGGAACAGATTCACAACTTCAGGATGCTTCTGGACTCACGGGTTATACTGGGTCAGTAAGTAGAGGCTCTGGCCAGAATGGTTCAAAGGGTATGATCTTCCTAGAACAGAAGAACCTTAAATTATGCCCATATCACCTTCCAGTTAGATTACTGACATGTACAGCCACTTGGGTTGCTTTTAAAGATATTGAGAAACTAGTTGATCAAAAATACAGCAGCCCCATCCTTTCAGTGTCCTTGCATTTGAAGTACGTTACACTGATTTAGCAGATTCTGCATGTTAGAAGGTATCTCCAGGAACACCACCTATTGTGAGTATCTATCTGACCAACTAGATCTCCCAGGGAGGAACTTCTGCAAATCCTGAGTTCGGAAGGAAGGGGTTGAAGTGAGGTGATACAGCTTTTCTGTAGTAGTATCAATCTTGTGGAAGAGCCTTATTCTGGATATGATTATGGTGATTGTAATTGAAATTTATTACATTTATATGCTGCTGATTCCCAGTGCCTCTGGATGAGGAACATCAGGTTGCTTATCTCTTTGCTGATCATTTGGAAGATATTGAAAACAAATTGTTTTAAAAACTTTTCCTCAATGTGTACATTGCCATCTCTCATTTGTTTCATATTGTATAGCTTTTGCTTTTGTATATTTTAATTTATATGTAAGGTTCCAAGAATCTTTTTTTATTATGGTAGCATGACATTTTCATAAAAAGAAAAACTCAGAATTATGTTTTAAAAAATCACATGGAGCCTTACAATCCTGTTACACTTTATTAAATATCATATTAAATGAAAACAATTGACACTTGACAAACCATACATTTTTCATAGTAAGACAAATTACACATTGAATACAATGTAACATTTACTCAACCATACTGCTAACTAAGCTGGCATTAAAGCATGTGGCTATATTATGTATACATACTTAATATTGTTTGATTACCAAACTCCTGTTAAAAAGAGCACCATTTTGTGCCTCGTATAAAGAATCCCAACTAGGGAAAATTTTGTAGGTAGCACTGCAGAAGTGAATGTTCTGAGGCCACGTTCAGGGAATATCTTAATGCAATCTTTCAATTTTTGCTTTAAAAAATATTGCAAGGCAATAATACAGATAAGTGCCTCTAAAACTTTCGGTCAAAAAAAAATTGTATCATGATTTGGTGAAGAATGGAATGTAATTCTATTTATATGGTCTCCATATTCCACATTAATCTGTACAGTCCAAATGTCATTTATTCTATTAGGTTACAAAAACAATAATATATTTTTGGGAAATACATACTCTATATGCACCATACATTTATGTGCATGGATGTCCATGCAGTCAAAATATCACATTGCCTTCACTGTTGAGACGAGCAACATTCCTCCTTAATTAATCAGAAAAATTGGAAATATCTATTCAAAAGTCATTCACATATTGAAAGCAAGACTGGTCCAAAGCCTCCCCAACCATTGTTATATATTTCCTGTGCTTGTTTAATCTTATTCCTAAGAGGCAAAGTACACATTATTCGCCACGACGCAGATGCTCTGAATTTTTGAGCTATTCAAATGGGAATCATATTGAACCAATTTTCCAATGTAACATTGGTAACGAAAACCCTGTAGACCAATTTTCTATCACTATTTCTACATTCTTCATATAATGGAGTTCCTCTTATCTTTCATTATAAGGTGATCTTCTTATGTTTCAAAAGTATTCTCTATCTTCTCATTGAGAAGCTTTCTAAAATAGGGAGGAGTTTAATTAAAAGAACTGGATGTAATTGGAAAGCATTTTTTCTTCCAATACCAACCACAGAAGTCCAATCCATGCATGATTGTTTTTCCATGACTGCCATATTCCTGGCCATTCCAATAGCATTTCAAACAAACTATTAGGTGGAATGGTTAGATTGCATAGCTAGTATTTACAAATGGGTGAAGACTCCATCCAATTAATCATTGAAGTCTTATTAGAAAAATAGGGAACCCAATTATGGGAAAACAGCAGATAGTGTTATTTCAGTAACATATATACCAAGTCACAATTAACATATACATGGAAAATTAAAAATATGTAATCTTGAATTCAAAGTACTTGAAAAGTGGATAGAAACTGCATTAGGTTTTGGCTCTTATTGAAATTCTGAAAGGCTCAGGGTTGTCATAAGCATTACATAATCAGGGGAAACAGGAAGTACAAATGACATGGCAGGATCTTTTAGAGTTAGAATTCAGTCCTGTTGTAGTCAAAAGCACAGGTGTTAGATGCAAAATCCATGCAGAATCACAGTGGAAGTAGCTGCAAAATATAAAATCCCTTGTTACGCATTGTTCAGAATAATTCAGAATTTCGTTTTTATCGCCAACGTAAGAGTTACATAGTTCTGCCTAAACTGATCTGCAAAGCAATAAGAGTGATGAAATGGCTATGTTGGGCAGGATAAAGGACCATATTTTGACCATAACCCGGAAGGAACTTTAGGGTAAAACTTGTACAGGTTTCCATTATGCACTAAAAGAGAACAGAGATGAAAATAAAATTGTATAATTACTATTTGCCAAATCATAGATTTGAAGAGATTCCTTCCTTCCTTCCCCCGCACCCCCAGCAGCTGTATGATTGCACTGCACAATGTTGGAGATCGCACTATAGCTACATATTTCTATTTACATTCCAGTGATAATTCCTCACCACTATCACTAAAATTAGAACTATAATAAAACCTAGCTAACTTATCCACTTCAAGTAATTGATCTTCTACCATAATTTTAGTGCCTTAAGGAAAACCATACAGAAACTTTAAGAAACAAAATAGAGATTCTATACCAGTGCACTATTTTCTTTAGTGTATAAATGTGAACTAATACTAAAGACAACAACACTGGATTCAAATGGATTCTATAGAAAAGAACTAGGGGCAAATAAAATAGATATATTGAAAAACATATGGATTTTAAATTTGAATGTGTTTTATATATATCATCTTCCATGTACAATTACATCTTCCAAGTCCCAAACCCTTGCCTTCTGTTGAGTTTTGAAAAATCACCTCAAATAAATCATGATTTATTCTCTGCAGATTGCTTTAGTTGTGCTAACTTCTAAGGGTTGTCATTGTGCTTTGGAGAAGGTTGCAAAAGGAGCATCAATGATTCCCCTTTTTGTTTTTCATGAAGTTTCTTGGTTGGATATCAAGGCCCATTCCAAAATACAGAGATTTGTAGCTTAAACAGCTACTCCCACCAAAAAAATTAAGAGGAGAAAATTGAATTACTAATCAATACACTCTAAGAGATGGATTTCCAGCCTCCAAATTCTAACTCCCCCTTCATCCTTTTAAATCAAGAACTTGTATTAAAAGTGAAATTCATTATTTTCAAATTGTAAGAGCTGGCCAATATATTCAGTGGCATCAGGAACAATTTTTGAAAGAATCTCATAAAATCTAAGCATATATCCTAAACATTTGATTTACTGAGAATAATAAGGTGCTAGGCATTTAACCCATTGAAGGAAATAACTCAGTGAGTTACTTTCTACATGAAACCATCGTGCATTTAATATGGAGAGAAATGGTTTCATCTCTCTTTAAGTTATTACAGAAATTTACAGAAATCAATCTTCCTTTGATAGTTTTGTTAATTCTCAAATTTTCTTTCCCCTTCCATTTTTTTACAGCACTGAAAATTTTTTAGATAACCTTGAAATAGCCAAGTGAATATATGATCTAATTTGAAAACTACTACACAGAAAACAAAGATTAATACATTTTTGTTAAGTCCAAAATGTTTCATTGGATTTTTGATTACTTGTTTCCATGGATATAAAGTTTTAAAGAAAGGTGGCAAAGCTTGTTCAGGCAGGACAAAAACATTTATTTTAATTTATATATAATTGTTGGGAATAGTGTAATAATAAAATCATATTGACAAAGGTTCCCTTGTATTAAAAATTAGTTTTTTGCAAAATCATGTATTCGCCAGATCCAAGTAATAAGTTGCTTTCAGTTTACAAAGCAAATGCAAACTATAAAACGTATCCCTGTTTTCCAGCTTTTATTTATAAAAGCATTAAGATTCCATAATTGAATTCATATACATGAATGAATGAATGAATGAATTTCTTAGAAATTTGTTATACTATGGAAAATGTAATTCTCTTTTATTTCAGGAAAATTTATTCTTCCCCATCTACAATAACATTCTACTAGTCATGTTAGGGGTGGTATGTAGAAGGCAAATCCAACTATTGCCTCCACTAATTCCCTCTCCCTTTCACTTTTTAAGAAAGGAAGAATAGTAATTCCTTATTGATTAACAATGTAAAAATTAAACAGGAAAATCAGCTGTATGAAAATGCATAATATAGTGCTTTTGTCCCTACCATCTTAATATCTTAAAAAAATAACTGGAAGAGTCCTTTGGTTAGAAAAAGAAAGTATTTTGAATTTGGATGATTATTCAAGGCTAATATTTCTAATGGCTCATTCAGCAACTAATCATAGTGTTATTCAGCACTATCATAGTGCTTTTCCAAATGTAAACTCATTTTTTTCTTCATCTTCTCTAGTTTCCTTCTTAGAAAATATTGTTGAAGCAAGACATATGAACAAGTTGAAATATAATCACAAAAACAGTATAACAATAAGTCCCTTTTCTCAAAAGGGCATAAAGTATATATATTTGCCCATTTATGTCACTTTATTCAACATAGGCAGAGTACCCAAATTCTAACTAAGATGCATTTATTGCCATGGTCAAATTAAAAATACTACATTTACTAGCAGTAAAAAAAATGAGCAAAATTATAAGATACTGACTGTCACAACATATCTGTAGCCTGTTTCAGCTTAGAAATTTGATGAATCTGAAATGAGTGGGACTTCCCAATGAATAAATACACTGTTTCATGCCATGACTGCCTTTTAGCTACAGGTAATATAAAGAAAGTTGTGAACACCAAAGGTGTTGCCTTACTATATTTAAGACATTGCTGGTGAAACTTAAACATTTTCACAAAAGTATTTATACCGCAGTCAAGTAAAAGTAATAAAATCAAACACAAAAGACTGAGGAAAAAAAGCCAATTATGCCACACATCAATAAATTTTCACAAACGTCTGTCAAATCACAATGTATCAAAATACGTGCAGTACTTTAAATAAACTGAGAAGGAGTGGGGAATCAGATCTTGTCAGCATAATTTTTCTTGTGATTGAAATCCAAGAAAGGAAGCAGATAATGGTGCCTTTATAATGTTGACTGTATCTTGTTTGTTTGTTTTTTCTCTTCTCTAGTCTGGTGATCTTAATTCCTATAATGAAACAACAGAAATTAGAGTAAACATTATGATGAGAGGTCGTTTAATAATGATAAAACAATGGTATCCTGTTCTTTTAATGTTAACCAAAACGAGCATTAAAAAATTTAAGGATAAGATTCAGATTTGCAAGCCTCTCTTCAAAGCCAAATGCCCAATTCCATAGACTTACAGAAATATTTTATTTATTAACTATAGTTGATCTGTTTCTTGATTCAATAAGCCGCAGAGTAATTTGCCGCAGAAATCATTTCCATCCACACAATGTTAAAATAAAAGCCAGCCAATCATAAATAAAATCGAAGCAACAACTAACTCTTCACTAAAGAAAGTTGTAATATTCAATCTGTATTAGAATGATTATTAGACTTTCTGGAAAAGCCATGTTTTAATGACTTTATGGAAAAAAATATGGTGGGAACCAATACAAAGAACAATGTTTCAAAAAACTAAACAAAACAGGCATTCCTTTATGGAAGAGAGTTCAAGGAACTCCACCATTTCCAATTCTATTGAGCAGGAAGAAATCATTGGGAGAACATTCCCTAGATATCTAGGTCTTCTGAAGGTTTGGTTTTAAAAGTAAAAAAAGTATGTTAAAAGTAATAAAAAAACCTGCATATTAAACTGCATCCAAACTGGTAACCAGTGTAGCTCTAGCAGTAGAGTCATGATATACAGGTGAAACTTGAAAAATTAGAATATCGTGCAAAAGTTCATTTATTTCAGTAATGCAACTTAAAAGGTGAAACTAATATATGAGATAGACTCATTACATGCAAAGCAAGATAGTTCAAGTCGTGATGTGTCATAATTGAGATGATTATGGCTTATAGCTCATGAAAACCCCAAATGCACAATCTCAGAAAATCAGAATATTGTGAAAAGGTTCAATATTCTAGGCTCAAAGTGTCCCACTGTAATCAGCTAAGCCATAACCCCTGCAAAGGGTTCCTGAGCCTTTAAATGGTCTCTCAGTCTGGTTCAGTAGGAAGCACAATCATGGGAAAGACTGCTGACCTGACAGTTGTGCAGAAAACCATCATTGACACCCTCCATAAGGAGGGAAAGCCGCAAAAGGTAATTGCAAAAGAAGTTGGATGTTCCCAAAGTGCTGTATCAAAGCACATTAATAGAAAGTTGTGCGGAAGAAAAAGGTACACAAGCAGCAGGGATGACCGCAGCCTGGAGAGGATTGTCAGGAAAAGGCCATTCAAAAGTGTTGGGGTCTTTCACAAGGAGTGGACTGAGGCTGGAGTCAGTGCATCAAGAGCCACCACACACAGACGGATCCTGGACATGGGCTTCAAATGTCGTATTCCTCTTGTCAAACCGCTCCTGAAAAAAAAAACGTCAGAAGCGTCTTACCTGGGCTAAAGAAAAACAGACCTGGTCTGTTGCTCAGTGGTCCTCTTTTCTTATGCAACTTTTGCATCTCATTTGGAAACCAAGGACCCAGAGTCTGGAAGAAGAATGGAGAGGCACACACTGCAAGATGCTTGAAGTCCAATGTGAAGTTTCCACAGTTTGTGTTGATTTGGGGAGCCATGTCATCAGCATTGGTCCACTGTGCTTCATTAAGTCCAGGGTAAATGCAGCCGTCTACCAGGAGATTTTGGAGTACTTCATGCTTCCTTCCGCAGATGAGCTTTATGGGGATGCTGACTTCATTTTCCAGCAGGACTTGGCAACTGCCAAAAGCACCAAAACCTGGTTCAGTGACCGTGGGATTACTGTGCTTGATTGGCCAGCAAACACACCTGACCTGAACCCTATAGAGAATCTATGGGGCATTGCCAAGAGAAAGATGAGAGACATGAGACCGAACAATGCAGAAGAGCTGAAGGCCTCTATTGAAGCATCCTGGTCTTCCATAACACCTCAGCAGTGCCACAGGCTGATAGCTTCCTTGACACGCCGCATTGAGGCAGTAATTGCTGCAAAAGGGGCCCAAACCAAGTACTGAGTACATATGCATGCTTCTACTTTTTAGAGGTCCAAAATTGTTCTATGTACAATCCTTGTTTTATTGATTGCATGTAATATTCTAATTTTCTGAGATTGTGGATTTGGGGTTTTCATGAACTGTTAGCCATAATCATCACAATTATGACAAATCATGGCTTGAACTACCTTGCTTTGCATGTAATGAGTCTATCTCACATATTGGTTTCACCTTTTAAGTTGCATTACTGAAATAAATGAACTTTTGCACGATATTTTAATTTTTCAAGTTTTACCTGTAGTAAAAGCAACTTCTTGGTACTATATGAGCCACTGCATTCTGAAAACTTGATTCTCTGAGGTGGCTTTTAATGTCAGACTCATTATCTGCTTTGCCCAAAAAGTAAAAAAATTCCCAAGTCCTCGAAGAAAGATTTTTTTTCTTGATCTAGAGTTAATAATAAGTATAAAGGTTAAATTAATTTTATACTGATATTGTATGGAACTTCTTTTTGCCTCTGAAGTTTATTTCCTCTTGTGTTTAGTTTAACCTCTGTAATATGTATGTAGGTGTGTAAATATACATATACATCTATATCTATCTATCTATCTATCTATCTATCTATCTATCTATCTATCTATCTGGCTATCTCTCTCTGTCTATCTATCTATCTATCTATCTATCTATCTATCTTAGTTTTTTTACTGTATTGTCACAATGTATAATTCGTTTTGTCTGCTTAATAACATTATAACATTTTACTTACTAGTGGATGGTGTGACAATTTATAAAACCATCAAATCATGTACATATATTTTATAGCATAAAACAATTTGTCTCACAAATTAAACAAATGTTTTCTTACTCCTATAGTTAAATACTGCTGTGCAAAATGGAAAGGATTTGATTTTAAATATTAATATTAATTCAAGCAATAAGAAGGGAAAGGGACATTAATTTTGGAATATTTGCCATCAGTTTAAAAATGTTTTAGAATTAAAATTTACTAGCTCTTTTTTCACACTACTAAACAGAATTTATCTGGATATTCCCCCCCCACCCCTTGAAGAATTGAATGGGGCAAGGCTGTCCCAGTGGCTTAGCATGCAAAACACACACACGACTTTCACAATACGGCCACAGCTGCATCTTGCAATCACATTTTGTTGTTCTTTTAAAAAGCAGCTGATAACAAATACATGCCACATTTCTCCTGTATTTAGTATGCCACCCAATTAGATTCTGTTAGGTACACTGTAAATGCCACTATGCCTGATATGCTCAATAGTAATTTTATTTTGCTGATAGTTTACTAAAGTCATTTTCAGTGCTATTGAAAAATCATCTTTTTTAACTCCATGCAAGTTTTTTGCAATACATATTAATGAATTAGATCACCAATTCCCATAACACAACTTCTTTCTGACCCACATTGGCCTGTGAACCATTTTTTAAAAAAATTAATTTCTTAAAACCAACTGTCAGCATCATGTGATGGAAGAGATGAAAAATGAAAATGAGTAATCCTGCTGTTCAGGTGAGTGACCTATGGGAGACAGCTCTGCCTGGTAGGATTTTTATATGTACCATCAGACACAGACCAATTGATTAGATCATCTTATTCTAGCCACCAACCAGGCTCCAGAGACTAATTAGAGAGAGTACTGCCTGCGCAGACACCCCATTGACACCTAATTTGCTCAGCGAAGGCCTTTGGGGGGAATTTATTATCTCTGCAGCTGTACTTCATGCATTTCTGATTTGAGACAGAGGCAAGAAGCACTTACTTCATCATGCTTCTGAACAAACTGAATGTAAGAAACTTAAACTGCTAAATACAAGCAAGCACAAATTAAACCTGGCTAGCCTTAATTCTCCTTTCTTCCTTCAATTCATGATATATATATCTGATGCAGATCAGCACAGTGCCTTATATATTCTCTACAAACAGATAGCCCAACCTATCAAAAGATTGTCCTTTTCCCTCCAGACATTTTTATTTAGTTATATATTATTTAATACTAAATGTTTCATGTAATATTTAGTTATTACAATTGCCTGTTTTATGAATTTCTTGTTAAAAGTAATATTATTTTTATTCTGCTTAATGTTCAAGGAGTTTTAAATAATTTTGTTAACATTTACTGTAGCTAGATTTTCCTTTGAAGTTGTAGAAATATTATCAGCAATATTAAATTAACGTGTTAGTAGTGATAATTGGCCCACTGCTCAAGAAACATTGTTGGATCTGGCTGCTGGACAATTTTTTTCCAGTATCTTACCACTCTTTTTGGGAGGAAGGTTAGGGAGAAGATAGTTGGACAGAAGTTGCATCAGACCTAGGATGAAGCAGATTATTTGTATCACTTTCAGTCAGGCTTCACACCTGGGTATTGGTCAGAGAAAGCATTGGCTGCATAGTTGTATGATATGTTTTGGATAATCTCTGGCAGAAACAGGGCAGGAGTCGTGCACCTGTTCTTGTTCTTATCCCAATGTGCTTTTTTCAGGAGGCAACGGGACTTTCTTGGGGGTTTCTTCCTTTGAAATGTTTTACTTCTCATCCGAGAAGCTTCTTCAGTTCAGCTTCTTAAGAAAAAATCCAAGGAAGTCCAATTGCTTTTTGGAAAAAGCACTTTTGGGGCAACCATACCCTGAATGGTTTGGAATCTTTATGGATATTTGTCCTTGCTCTTCTTGACTTCTTGGTGGTTTTTAATAGTATTCATCATGGTATTCTTCTAGATCACTCCAGGTAGAGAATGGATGGAAGAATATTCTACTGATTTGCTTCCCCTGATGGGCTAATACTAGTCCGTGTATACATCCCACCTCTTTGTGGAGTCCAAAGTTAGATATTCTTTGTTAGTATGGGTAATATATCATCAATACACCATGACACATTATATGCATTACTTCAACATCTCAGTTTTACAATATCAAAATCAATATTATACATCTCCATTCCGGGAAAATTAAGTGATGCTGCTGAAGACCTGTTCCAATGCTTGGAGGCTTTAGGAGTCTGGAGGGAGGTACAACAGGTTTC